GGCTTCTCGCGGTGCCAGTCCTCAACCCATGGCTTTTCCGCTCATTCGATTTTGTTTCCTACTCTGGGACGCTCACAACGCGATCGAGAGGAAGACAAGCCTGGCGATCAACATACTACTGTGGGAAGCCAACCGCTGCTTGGGTGTCAACAACCCATTGGTTCAGTGGGAAGATGTAGAAGAAGCTGCCGACTTGGAAAATGCTCGACTCTTCCCATTGCTACATGGACTGACGATGCTGGTGTCCCAAGGCCTTGCACGCAATGGCTTAATGGACCCCTGGCCTGAAGAAAAGAAGCTCGATCTTGCGCAACAGTTTGCATGTGAATTTATTGGTCCGCACTTCGAGGGTCAGCCTTCAGATATGTGGCTGGCGAAGCTGGCGCTTGTTGTGAACGAACTCAAACGCCATCAATTCGAGATGGGTAGGAAGCCATTGACAGGCGTCGCAGCCGAGAAGAGCATCGTTCGAGGGTGGTGGGCGATTGCGCATGCAGAGGTTGACGAATCTGATTGAGCTGGTGTAAGTGCTGCTTCATGCATGTGAGCTACATTTTGTATAGGACCCCGTTACTTGTCTAAACAATACAGGTAGTTTTCCCCAGTTCTCTCTTGGTCTCATGTGAGGCCGATTCCGGGCTCAGCCCGGCGTGACGCGTCTTGGAGCGCTAGAATTATGGAACAGGCTAGACTTGCGGGAAGATCCGAGATTCCACACTAGCCGGAGACGGGTCTTCGTATATCGTATTTGCGTAATCTGCGTATTGCGTAGTAAAACCGTGATGATAAAAGTCGCCGGCTGCCAAAAATTGAGTTGGTCAGAAGCAATACTTTTCACTTCACCCAATTGCCCTTCATCATGAAAGCAAGACCAGATAGCACCCAAGCGCCGATACCAGTAGACTCTGAACGCGACGATGACGTATATCATTTCGGCGCACCACCGCCGTACACTGCGGAAGAGCTGACGGGCTCAATACCACAGCCAGGAGATACTGGAGTGACGAGTAAGCGCAACCCGTCTTATTATCTGTAACTAGGCTGACTGGGGGCAGATGACGGTCGCATCGACATTGACTTGAACTCGCGACTGACCAAAACACTCGTCAAGCTTGTACCGAAGCATGACAAAGATGAACCAGAACTAAGCCGAAGATTCACTGTTAGCCGACTATGGAGTATCCGTCTGAACATTGTCATCCAAGTCGTAGGAAGTCGAGGCGATGTACAACCGTTCATTGCCCTCGGACAAGAGTTGCAAAAGTACGGCCACCGTGTCCGCATAGCGACACACAACACGTTCGAAGGCTTCGTAAAGGAGTCAAATCTAGAGTTTTATCCTATTGGCGGGGATCCTAAAGAGCTCAGTATGTTATGCTGTAAAGGTCCGTACGTACCTTGTTAACATGCAGCAGTGGCCTACATGGTCAAGAACCCAGGGTTGATACCGTCCATGAAGAGTCTTCGCGAAGGCGATATCCAAAAGAAAAGGGAAATGATCGCCGAGATGCTCTATGGCTGCTGGCAGTCATGTATCGAACCGGACCTCAAAACTCAACAGCCATTTGTGGCAGACGCAATCATCGCCAATCCGCCTAGTTTCGCGCATGTACACTGTGCCCAAGCTCTGGGCATTCCACTCCATCTCATGTTTACCATGCCTTGGAGCAGCACCCGAGCCTTTCCGCATCCGTTGGCAAACTTTAAGAGCGACGAAATCTCGACCGCCCTCATCAACTATGCATCGTATGGCGTCGTCGAATTTCTAACGTGGCAGGGTCTGGGTGATGTCATCAATGGATTTAGACATTCCTTGGACCTTGAAGAGGTGCCGCTATCAGTCGGACCTGTACTTGCTTCTGTACTCAAAGTGCCTTTTACGTACTGCTGGTCTCCGGCTTTGGTTCCGAAGCCACCTGATTGGGCAGCGCATATCGATGTTTGCGGTTTCTTCTTCCGCGAACCAACGCCGTACACGCCGCCTCCGGAAATTGATCAGTTCCTGAGAGATGGGCTCCCACCGGTCTACATCGGCTTCGGGAGCATCGTCCTCGACGATCCTGCAAAGGTGACATCAAGCATCCTGGAAACCGTGCGCGCCCTGGGTATCCGGGCGATCATCTCTAGAGGATGGAGTAACCTTGGGGGCGACTTACCAAACGACAACAAGGACATTCTGTTCATCGGCGACTGTCCACACGAGTGGCTGTTTCAGCATGTTGCAGCGGTTGTACATCACGGCGGTGCAGGTACGGCTGCGTGCGGACTACGTAATGCATGTCCTACTGTTGTCGTTCCGTTCTTTGGAGACCAGCCGTTCTGGGGAGAGATGATAGCAGCAGCGGGAGCCGGTCCACAGCCTATTCCCCACAAACTTCTGACAGCCGAAAACCTTACAGCGGCTATCCACTTCTGTCTCACGCGCGAGGCAAAGCAGGCCGCACGGGGATTATCTTCGCAGATGGCGAACGAGCGAGGCGTCGAGGCAGCAGTACAATCTTTCCACACCAATCTGCCTCTCGAGACTATGCGATGCGCACTGCTACCTACACAGGTGGCATCGTGGAAGGTCAAGAAAGAATCCATCCTTCTTTCCAAATTAGCGGCACAGATACTCATCGAGAATGGTTCCATCGATCCCACCGATCTCGAAAACCACGAAACCGATCCTTTCATCATCACCAATCAACGCTGGGACCCCATAACAAGTACAACTTCGGCGTGTGTTGGCATTGTCGGAGACATGGGTATGGCAATGAAGGGCATGGTTGTGGATCCCTTCGTTGAGCCTAAACACCCTGCTACATTCTCAGGAGCCTCAGCGTCTTCAGGAAAGCCGGGTTCAAGCGGCGCAGCTGCCGCAGGTCGCTTTGCCAAAGGCTTTGGTAGATTTGTAGGTGCATTCTATAAGGGTACCATCGTCGACCTCCCTCTCGCTGCCACAGAAGGTTTTCGCAACGTGCCAAGGTTGTATGGTGAAGAAGTCAAAGACCATGGGGAGGTCACTGGCGCTCTTTCTGGCTTCCAAGTCGGTGGCAAGACCTTCATCCATGGCTTTGCCGACGGCCTCTCGGATCCCTTCCGTCAGACGTATGAGGGTGGGAAGAAAGAGGGTGCGATCGGGTATGCAAAGGGCTTCGGCAAGGGAATGTCCGGACTGATTACGAAGACTGGCGCAGCAACCCTTGGGATTATAGCATACCCTGGAGATGGCATCGTGAAGAGTATGAAGTACTTGGCGAAAGGCGGCACGAGAAAGCGCATCAAGGCGGCAAAACGGGGAGAGACTGAGTGGATGGGCCGGAAATCCGAGGCTGACCTGAGAGCTGTGGAACTCATCCAAGAGTTCGACAGGCTAAGGAAGGGCAAGGCAAAGGTGAAGACGTAAGGGGCGGGATGATCTGCGGCGTTAGGAACTTTGGAGTTCGGACACATACCCTATTCAAATGATTATTTCTTTGCTTCGCGAAACCAGCCAGTTCGCATTTGGAGTCAGAGATGCCTACTCACCTTTGTTGTGACGTGTCGTAACGGCGAACGGTCCCCCTTGTTTAGGAGAACGAAACGGGAAATCGGGTCCACTTGGTTGCCTAATTTCGGTCATTCCGCTCCGAATCCCGTCCTTTCGCGCGCTGCGCGTGCACAGCCAACCCCATCATGCTCGTCTTTTTCGCATACAGATCGAGTACCTGGAATACAGACGAAATCCTATCATGGAAACGGACGCAGTAGGCAAGACCCCTGCGCCATATGGTCAGGCATGTGGCAACTGCGTTAAAGCGAAATGCCGATGTATGTTACGCGACGGCGGTGTTTGCGACAGGTGCGCCATCCCTTTGATCAATACGCTCACTATGGAGCAATCACACTCTGGGATGCACGTCAACCTAAGAAAAAGCCGAACACCCTGGAGCCTACATCGACGTTAGGTCACCTAGTTTGCATGCTTTTAGGTTGATGTAGGTCCAAATCGCTACCTTCCGCGCACTCGGGCTAACTTGAACGCAAAGATGTCACCGCCTAGGTAAAGAGTGCAGAGCTTCATCAGCTGTGCGCAGGAGGGCACCCAGATCAAACCAAGCGCCGAAGAGGTCAAAATTGGAGGACAAACTCGATGAAGTCGTCTCTTTGCTTCGAACACAGCGCACAGCACCCCTCACGACATCGCCCAATGATCAGCTCGTGCTAACACCCGACTCCTCCGTAATTCCCCACCAGGGGACTGATGGTCTTGACAACGACAAGTACTTGTATAGTGATCAGTTGCACGACTTCCGGACGAGTTATCTATACTATTTCCCCTTCATGCCCATGTCGGAGAATGCTACCACAGACGAGCTTCATCTCAAATACCCGCTATTTTGCCATGCTATCCGCACAATACTCACTAAAGCAATAACGAAGCAAAGCCAGTTGAGCAAGCACTTACGAGAACAACTGGCTTCCAGGATCATTGTGCAGGGAGAACGGAGCATTGACTTGCTCTTGACTGTCATCATGTGCATAGCTTGGTAAGGACGCAGATCATGTGTAGTGTTTCCATCTTTAATGCTGTTAGGTCACCGTACTTCACGCATGGGAAACAGTTCCTGGGCTCCATGTGCGGTCTTGCAAAAACGCTGGTTAGCGATCTCCGACTCGACAAGCCTACGCAACCCGCGGGATGTCCAAGCCTAGGCCCTCGTGTTGATAACAAGGAAGTTCGGAAGACCGAGGGTAGTAGAGCATTTCTATCTGTTTTCATATTATGCGCCAAGTAAGTTTGCAAGTAACCTCATCGTAGCTCAACTGACGCTAGAAGTGTTGCTGTTATCTTCGAATATGACCTGATGCTCTGGTCGTCGCAGATCGAAGATGCGTGCGATCACCTCAGTAAGAACAAAGAATGTGAAGGAGACGTCATACTGGTCGCCGCTGCGCGTCTGGCAAAGATTGTTGTCAGCGCCGCCGAAGTATCACGAAGAGCTTCGGATGACCACAATACAGCAAGGCATGCTATGATGGCTATTGACCCTCTAATATTGGCGCTTAACAACTTCAAAAGTTCACTCCCTATTGAGATTCTACAGCACTGTAAGATCGTCTATCCGTCACCTCTTCCAGCGCTCAATTACTCCAGGGTTAATTATCGGTCTCACTCAAACCGCCCAGGTTGCCATCTACGATCTTGCGCTCTTAACAAAGCCTACGGATGAGCTGTCAGTGTCGAATCTAGCGTTCGAGCCCAGGCGCATCGAGTACTTTATGGAGCTTCTAGAGACCAGTAAAGCCTGTCGAGAACACGCTTGGAATGGCGGCGTCATAGGTCTGACGGCTCCATCGATGCTCGTATTCTCGTATTGTATCAAGACCTTGTACAGATTCGCCAGCCTCAAAGGAATCCCAGACTGGATACCACCCATCGTCCAATCAAGCTTCGACATCGTGCAATGTCTAGAGAGGTTTGCCGAGATTGCTGAGCAGGCTAACATGGAATTCAAAGCCAAGACAGGCGAGGATACTCTATTTGCTGCAGCTGCGGAAACGCTAAGGGGTATGGCACCAAATTGGAAACTCCCTACGAGCGAGCACGATGATGCCATGGGCAGCACAGTGGACGGATGGAATGACGGGTTTGGTGATATGGGGGTAATGGACTTTGCGAGCGACTTCTGGATGCCTAGCGTTTTCAATCTTTGAGCTTTGAGCTACGGGATGTGGCGTCCTCGCAACTTCCGAAACCCGCAACATCAACAAAGCAGCAGGCTAACGTGCGACTTCCTGCTATGCACAACGTTCAAATACGCTCTTGCCTGATCATTTTACATCTTTGTCGCTCGTTGTCCTTTTGTACACAAACATTTTACTGCCTTCCGCCCTAAATCTACCACACCCTGGACCTGTTCTACTTGAACCGGAATATACCTACATAATAGCCAGTCAACATGGACAGCGATGGCAACACTGCGCCGCCGGTTCAATATCTTTGTGGTCTTAAACTCTTCACCCTTCTCGGCAGTCTGACGCTCGTCACATTCCTGGTCTGCCTCGACACCTCCATCATGGGTACTGTATGTGTCACCTGCGTTGCTGGTATGATGTTCCGATTCTGATGGTATTAGGCAATACCACGCATTACATCCGAGTTCCACTCGCTTCCAGATGTAGGCTGTAAGTGTCACTGCGACACCGCAATGTGAGACGTGTACTGACTTTGTATACCTGTAATTAGGGTACATTGGTGCTTTTACCCTCGCTTCGTACGTCGTCTTCTTCAAACAACGTTTTGTTTCCCTTCCAAGTATGGGTGAACGAAGTCGAAGCCTTTACTGATGTCGCTACCAGAGCAACATTGCAACCACTTTCCGGCAAGCTCTACACACACTTCAACAACAAGATTGTGTTCCTCACATTCGTATCTTTGTTCGAACTCGGGTCCCTACTATGCGGTGTCGCTAGCTCTTCAGCCTTCCTTATCGTTGGAAGAGTGGTTGCAGGTTTAGGAGCGTCTGGTATCGTGAACGGCGCTATGACAATCCTCGCATGGGCTGTGCCGAAAGAAAAGAGTCCAGGTGCGTTCTCAGGTGCATGAATTTTCCAATGGTGAACGCTAACAAGATGCGACAGTGTATACTGGTATAGTACTTGGGAGTATGCATACCGAATGGTGGAAGTGGGCATGACTGGATGCTAACCAGATGACAGCCGCACAAATGGGCATCGTAGCAGGACCGCTCATCGGGGGTGCTCTCACTGAGCATGCAATCTGGCGCTGGTGTACGTTGTTCATTCTATTACCTCTTGCTCTTCTCTTCTAAAGCTGACGGTAACCCAAACCCAGGCTTTTACATGAACCTACCCATCGGCGGAGTGGCAGCCGCCCTCATCGCCTTCGTTCCAATTCCCGAGCGCACGACGAAGCCGCGAGTTACTCTGTCCCTCGTCCACAAAATCATACCCGACCTCGATCTGCTCGGCTTTGCTCTCTTTGTCCCTCCGTCCGTTATGCTGCTCCTCGCCCTCCAGCTAGGCAGTAGTGGCAAGTACGCCTGGAGTTCCCCTGTCATTATCGGACTATTCTGTGGTGCTGCAACATGCGCCGCCCTCTTCATACTTTGGGAGAGAAGAATGGGCGGCCAAGCCATGCTTCCAGGTAAGCTGCTTGGACAGCGCATCGTCTGGACGAGTTGCGTGTATGCCAGCTGCATTATCACTTGTATGATGACAGCGAGTGTTTGGATGCCGACATACTTCCAGGCCGTGAAGGGCGACGGACCGACCGACAGTGGTGTACACGTACTGCCGAGTATATTGAGTCAACTTCTCGTTGTTATCGCTACGGGTGCTGCAGGTATGTCTCCACACTATCAAGCTCATGCTTTCGGTAACTTATCGTTCATAGTATCTCGCATGGGCTACTATCTTCCCTGGGCACTCGTCGGTGGTATCATCACCGCAATCGGCAACGGTCTCGTGTCAACGTTCACAGCATCTACGAGCGCCTCGATCTGGATCGGCTATCAGATTTTGTTAGGCGCTGGCCGAGGATGTGGCATGCAGATAGTAAGTCCAATTCCTGCACAGGTTGGGGCCGCATCATTGACGCTTTCAGGCCATCATTGCTGTGCAGAACGCGGTATCTCCGGCCCAATACCCAGTCGCGTTGGCCAGCGTCGTCTTTTTCCAGAACCTCAGTACATCTATCGCTGTCGTCGTCGCGAACACGATCTTCGCGCAGACACTCCGTTCCGCCATCACACGCTACGCGCCCATGATATCGCCCCAGGCGGCGGTTGATGCTGGATCTAGTGCCAGTGCCGTGCGAGCCCTCGTTCCACCTGGAGAACTAGATGGTGTGCTGAGAGCATACTCGGAGGGTCTGCGCGATGTCTTTTACTTCTTGGTAGGCATAGCATGTCTGGCTACCCTTGCCAGCTTGGGTATGGGCTGGAAGGATATCCGGAACAAGCACAGCAAAACGGACATGAATGTTGAAATGGATGAGAGATGTGAGACCATGGACAAGTAGGCGGGTTATGTAGATGGCTAGCTGAAAGAGTAGCTTAAAGACCTTGGATTTGTAACTCAACACGCTGGTACTGAGGAGTGAGCATCTTGATAGGAATTTACTTAGCAACGCCCATCCAATCATGAATACGTTTCCATATCTCATCACTGTTCTTCTCCATAAACATCATATGCCCATTGCCATGAATGCCGACTTTTCCAAGCTCAAGATGTTCAGCCTTGGAACAGCCAGCTTGCTTGAGAAAGTTGACAGTGCAGTAGTCGTACGGCGCATGGTAGCTAGCTTCTGACGTAACGGTGAGAATGGGCAGCGGCGCAAGATTAGGAAGTCGTCTCGGGGCTGGCTCGGCTGCTTGCAATACGCAGGGAACAGTAGCATTGTTACTTGTCAGGTTGGTAGGCTGATAAACCTGTTGTACTAAGTCGATCGCGGGGTCAGAGACTGGAGGCGAATAATTCATCGGTATGTCTGCCAAGCCCTGTAGGTTTTGAAGTCAACAGCCATTTCAAATGAGACTGAAAGATTGGTGAACCTACCCATTTCCTCGCTGGTGCAGATCCAAAGACTGCTTCCTGAAAGGGCGGACCAGTCGGCTCCACCAAGAGGAGGCCCTTCGTGAGATGGGGCCGTGCATCAGCGATGAGCAACGGCAGAAGACCTCCTTGGCTGTGGCCAAGCAACCACGTGGGAGTACCGATGGAATCTAAGAGCTGTGCTCCTGCCGATTGCATGGTGCTTTGTTGATAGGTGGCATTCGAGATAAACTGGACGTTGGAGGAATAGAAAGCGTCGAAAGTAGGATCGCCCATGATGCCTGTTCCTGGCCATTGAGTGTGAAGGGTAGATTGGGGCCAGAGACGATATTGCTGTGGAGCAGTGAAGCGTTCTTGGATAAGCTCAGCAGAATAGGTCGACGGCGCATCAGCACCAGCTCTCGGTGCCCAAGCGGAGCGTCCGCGGAAGGTTTGATCCACGATGTAGACAGTATGGCCAGCCTCAAGGAATCGAGAGCTCCATGATATCCCTCCGTCTGGCTTCACGAGAAAGTTTGTGCCCGTCTGCGCTTGTCCGTGGATCAAAACAACAGGGTCTGTATCATGTTGTTTGGTGGACACTGGCGTTAACTTTTCGACGTACATTTGGTCCTTGAATATATGACCACCGTTGCCATCTTCACTATAGCCACCCCCAACGTAGAAAAATGTCCGGACTGCAGGTGTTTCCGTTTCCGCATGATGATGGTTGTGCGCCGCCGCAAAAGAGATGAGCAGCGCAAGGTGATGTAGCAACATCATGACGTGCTGATTTGAGGATTTTTTGCTGAAGGAACGGATAAAAGATGTCGATGAAGGATGCGGCGAGCCATTGCAACCGAGGTCAATTGCCGTGTGGAGTGGGCTTGGCTTGCAGCTTGTGGAGCTATGCCTCGATGATCTTTCTTGCAGGGGCCCATGCAGCTACGAGGCATAAGCGGCACCCTCAATACTGAGAAGTCAAGCGTGTCGAGAGGAAGCACCGAATTGCCACCACACGTAAGGACATGAGAGTCAAAGTCAAAGCCATGAGCTGGATTTCCTGGAAACATGCTGTTCAGAGTCTCCGCGTCCTCTGTGCCTGCGGTTGTACCTCTACTCGCATAGCAGCAAATCTGCCATCCTTGCCCGTCTCCGGGTCAAATCCACCATACACCGTGTCCTGCTCTTCGCTCGTAACCCTTGCCAATTCCTCTGCACTCCCTGTGCTCTTCAACGACGTGTTCCTGACCAACTCAAAGTTATCGCGACTATCGTCGGGAAGACGTTCGTGGTGCGTAACGCGGACCTCGTTGGTGACAAAGATTTGGGTCCAGGAAGCCATGACGGTGGGCCAGAATATGGGCATGGACGCACACATTATCGCGAAGTCGATTTCGAGGCAGGAGATGATGAGGACTTCGGGGTACCACCATGTGAAATCGAAACTTTGGGTCATGCTTTGACTGTTCTTGAAAGTGCTCCAAAGGCGAAGGATAGCCATGAGTACGACACTGCGTCTGTCAGTGGTGACGCTGTAGTGTTCAGAGTCTGCACTTACATCGAACCGAGGGCGAACAATCCAGTCATGGCAAGCACCTGTTTCCGTCTGAGATCTTTCCTAAAGTATTCCGTGATCGGGACGAGGAATATGGCAATATCGAACGCCATGTTCGTCGCAGCAAACGCGAGTATCGTGAATTTCGCCTCATTGATAGTGCGATATCCGAAGCCGTAGCATTTAGAGCCAGGTTGTCGATCCCAGAAGTTCCTTACTGGAAAGCAGGGTACCCAAGCCATGAATGAGAAAGTCAGGCCCCATGCTATCACCAACGCGAGAAGTACGATACAAATGATGCGGCGAGCGCCCTGCTGAAAGAGCCTCAGGTACTGTAGGAGTAGGGATATCTTGATGAAGACAGTGGTCGTATGATACGCGGCATTTGTGATATACAGCCAGATCATGGTTGGTTGCAACTCTCGTAAGGTGTAGATAAGATGATGACCCATGCCATAATTGGTGCCTGCGCGAGAAATCAGTACAACGACCACGAGTTTAGAGTCGTGCAGGCCTACCGTGGAGGAAGGCTATGATAGATATCAAGTTGAATATAGCCGCTAGGACTACGAAGAGGTCATCGAGACCGGGTTCACGAACA